TTACACTTTATTATTCATGGATATTAACCTGAGAATGCTTTGATAAAAACACTGAATTAATGGGCCTTCAGTGATAAGTCCCCTTGATCAATATGTTTTTAACGTCATAATGCCCTCTCACAATATACATAGGCGCCTTAAAATAAAAATACCCTAAGATTTGGAGAAAATTGTATTTGGAATCACCTGAATTATGTTAGTTTACAAAGAAAAAAACTTCAAAAAGTATCCAAAGAAAGAAATGCTTTACCTAAATTCAACATTCAGAACAACAGAAACACTATTATTTGCACTATTGAATGACTGAGAAAACCATTGCAGTTAATCTTGTAAATCAGTAATTAATAAAGAACACAGTGCATCACAAAATATACTCTGCTTATTTTTACTTGGTCTATTATTCAGAGGACATTTTGCAAAAAAAGAGAAAAGAATACAAATGAAATGCTTGTTTAAGTTTATATTATAAGTTTATTTGGGGAAAATGGGCAAAGATGAAAACAAAATTTCAAAGCCAGTTGTATTGGAATTTAGGAGAGCTAAACAAGGGGAGCCTTAGGTAAGTAAAGGTAAATGATAGTGACTGTGCTTTACTTTCTCTTCCATTTTATGTTTTGCAATTTTTTTCTGGTAATTTAACAAATCAGAAGAATCTCTATTAGATATTATTTATGCAGTATCACTATTAATAAGAATATCCATTAAGCCAGGGGTATACAACCAGAACACATAAAGCCACATATAGTTCCAGAGACTGCCAGACTCCAACTGTAATTTTAATGTGACAAAGGGCAATAATGATTAAATACAGATTTTTGGCTTGGCTCAGTTCATTCCTTTTACATTATGCACCCTTCAGCTAATTGCTGCTAATAGCAGTGATATTTTCTGTGTTGGAAGCACCAAAGTGCTTCCATTGCCAAAAGCTGTCACCCTCTTTTGAAATGCTGGTTCAGTAGGAGCTGGAACTGGAGTATGTGACGGGAGCTCACCCTGCCCCATAGCAGCAACAGGTCTCAAACGCAAGTGCTGCTGATCGTCAACCCAATGTTCTAACCTCTCGAGTCATGTGCAGTCATGAAAGGAATACTTAACCCAATTCCAACCATCAGAAGGGAAACTTCTGAAATTAAGAATTACAGTGTGCAATATTAAAATATTTAGGTTCATAAACATTGATTTAGTGGATTAGGAAGAAAAAAGGCCTCTATTTAGCAATATTTTTATATCTGGAAAATCAGAGGAAATGAGTAACATTTCAAACACCCCCCCCCCCCAAAAAAAAGTGTATGTCACAGAAAGTTGGACAAATGTGCTATGGTCATTTTTCCATGCTGGCAAGACTATAGGCAAGGTGCACATATTCTTAGTTTATCAATGAGTGATTTCCATGAACATAGCCCCAGCTGGAGTTCAGGTTTCAATGACTGCAATAAAATTTACTTAAGTGCAATTCATAGGTGCAGGGTATTACATAACATACTTTTTACAGAATATCTTACTTTGCCCATTTTTGCACAATTTAGCAAACCTTGATTCACTGGCTGTAAAAGGAAAGAAATCATACTATGTGATTTCTTGTATGATTTCCTAATGGCAAAGAAATTGAGTATTTTGTCTACCAAGGAAGATAAACAAGTTGTATCTAGAAAATCCAAGTAGATAGGTATTTAACCTCTGTAGATCTCAAAAATATCTCTTCCATCTCCACCAGATTAGCTAGTTTGTTTGTATTTTTGTAAAAAAGGATATACTTAAAGATTTCAGTATTTAAGAAAGGAGGTGTAAGTGCACTCTTCCTGAAATCAACAGTACTCAGAATTTATATGGATAATTCAGAATGGACCCAGATTCCCATGTATTGCATCTATATGCTTTTGTACATCTCTCCATCTCTATCTCCATCTCTCTAATAAAAAGGCTCAAAAAGATGCCTTGACTTCCCCAAGCAGTTTTATAAGAGAGGAAAAAAAAATAACTGATGCCTGAGAAAGATGTTACTAAGATTAAATGGGATAACCAAAGTCCACCTTGCTAGTTTTAATGAGCAAATGTTTCAATGGTTGGGCTGCTGTATTGCATTCATGAAACCCTTTGCAATATTTTCAAAAGTAAGGCTTCCTGTGAATAATAAAATATGTACCAACATCTTCCAAATATGTTTTGGAACTCTCTGAAACTTGACTAAATGTGATTTATTTAAGAAAATTTATATGGCTGCCCTCTCATTCTCAGTGACTCTGGGCGGCTTACAAAAATAAACCAATTTACAAACAATATTCCCCCCCCCCACAACAATCTGTAGCATGTCAAAATGTTCACAATTTTCTGACCATGGGAAATATTTATTCCTTCAGTAACTGTACCCATTTCTCTGGTAGGCAGGAAACAGACAAGAACCTATGCACTTTAAATGGGCAGGGGAAGTAGAAACAAAGAGAAATCAAATGTTCTTCCAAGCTTAAAATAAATTTAGATTTTGCAGGAAGGATTTCTCAGCTAATAAATTGGCACACAGGTAATACTGTACCAAGGTATTTTCTAGAATAGGAAAAGTTAACCAGTGTTAAACAAAAAGTTGCTTCTAAATAAGAACTGAGCCTTTTTTGCATGTATTTTTCTACTTGAATGTCTTCTAAGATGCTGTTAGTGATATTAACAATTCTATATTTTTATTTCTTTAGCATAGTTTTACACGTAGGTGCTTAAAAGTAAAAGGCATTTTCCCAATTCTTTCAAAAGCAATTTCTGTATAAGTTATGATGCGGATTTGCCTTTGCTGATTTACCTTCCCACGAAGGAGAAGGTAGAGGCTATTTTCCTAATCGTTATATGGCCACGCTGTCATTTTTTCCTTATAATTTTCCAGAAAAGCAACAGATACTTAGAAGTTCCTTTCTCATACACATGTTGGGATTTAAGAGAAGGTTGTCCATAGGACAGTGGTGGCGAACCTATGGCACGGGTGCCAGAGGCGGCACTCAGAGCCCTCTCTGTGGGCACGCGTGCTGTCGTCCCAGTCTTTGGCCTTCAGCTGGGTTTTATAAAACCTTTTCGCTTTAGATCTTCATTGCCGTGTGGGGGAAAAAAAGGTTCAATCAGTCAATTTCAACTTTTCACGGGGGAAAAAAAAGGTCTTGCAAAGTTGGAATTGATTGATTGAACTTTTTAATCCCACCCAGTCTGCTGTTACCACCGCAGCCACGCCCACCCAATGGGCCACACCCACCCAATGGGCCACACCCACCCGGCACCCAACGATGCATAAGTGGGTTTTGGGTTGCAGTTTGGGCACTCGGTCTCTAAAAGGTTCGCCATCACTGCCATAGGAGTTAGGTGGTAACTAACAAGTTGGCTTGAAACTCAACATTAAGAAAACGAAGATCATGGCATCCGGCCCTCTCAATTCCTGGCAAATAGATAGGGAAGAAATGGAGGTAGTGACAGATTTTAACTTCCTGGGCTCCAAGATCACCACAGATGGGGACTGCAGCCAAGAAATTAAAAGACGCTTGCTCCTGGGGAGGAAAGCTATGGCAAATCTAGACAGCATACTAAAAAGCAGAGACATCACCCTGCTAACAAACGTATGTATAGTCAAGGCCATGGTTTTCCCAGTTGCAATGTATGGCTGTGAAAGTCTGACCATAAGAAAGGCTGAGCGCAAAAGAATTGAGGCCTTTGAACTATGGTGCTGGAGAAGACTCCTGCGAGTCCCCTGGACTGCAAGGCGATCAAACCCGGTCAGTCCTAGAGGAGATCAACCCTGATTGCACTTTAGAAGGCCAGATCCTGAAGTTGAAACTCAAGTACTTTGGCCACCTAATGAGAAGGAAGGATTCACTGGAGAAGGGCCTAATGCTGGGAAAGATTGAGGGCAATAGAAGAACGGGACAACAGAGAATGAGGTGGCTGGATGGAGTCACTGAAGCAGTAGGCGTGAGCTTAAATGGACTTCCAGAAGATGGTAAAGGACAGGAAGGCCTGAAGGAACGTCATCCATGTGGTCGCGATGGGTCAGACATGACTTCACAACTAACAAAAACAAACAAACTACAATATAAAAAGCACAGCTAAGTTTATAGGCACAGAGGCTTTGGAGATAGCTTAAAACTTTCAACTTTTTAACATATAGGGTCAGCTCTTTGCTATAAAAAATATAGTGTTTTTTTTTAAAAAATGTTTTACTATTTGATGCAGATACATCAACAGCACCCAAAATTCTTGACTTATTTTCAGGATTCAAATGTCTCCTAGACGACTCCAAATCTACAAAGGGATTTTTATAAAAAATTTTAAAGAGAACCGTTTAGGTAGATATTAGTTATTTGCATGATTTAGAATTCTTCATATTGAAGTATAAGTATGATCTTACTCTTACAGTAAAATTGTCATCCTAGTTTTAAATTCTTGAGCTGATTTGCTCTCTGCCTATGAGTTGACTCTATTGACCTAACAATCTATATAGTTTAATATTGTGTTTCAAGACTGAGCTATACTGTTTTTGAATTTTTATTTCTCTCATTTTAATATTTGTTTATGGGGTTTTTTGGTGTTTTTTTACATATAGAAGTACTTTTTATTTTAAGAGTACCCTGTTGCAAATGAAGGGTATTGTTTAAAAGCAGCAGATTTCACCTCTATGAAACTATATGATTAAGATGTGAAAGGCATCAAGGAAGCTGCAACTAAACCTTGCCAGAAACCAAAATGCTCAAAAATTATTCATATATTGGTTGCAAGCCAGAATGTAAGATGAGCACCATAGTGCTTAAAAGTACCTTTACGTCTTAAGGGTAAACAATAGCATTAGCAATAGCACTCAGACTTATATAAGCTTCATAGTGCTTTACAGCTCTCTAAGTGGTTTAAAGAATCAGCATATTGCCCCCAACAATCTTGGTCCTCATTTTACCAACCTTGAAAGGATGGAAGGCTGAGTCAACCTTTGGCCTGTCAGGATTGAACTCCTGGCAGTGGGCAGAGTAAGCGTGCAATACTGCATTCTAACCACATTCTTATAATTATATCTTAACCAATTATCCTTTTGACATATAAAAACAAGCATATTCTGTCCTAAATTCTCCAAAACAAAAACAGTGCAGTTATCCAAATGAAGTATCTAAAACCATATCTTCATATGCCAGACAATGATTGAAATAACAGTTTAAACAAGAAAAGTAGGAATTAAAATTGAAATTTCTGAATACTTGTCAATTTCATAACTGCTTCCTGATTTTTTGTCTCCATTTTGGACATGTATATAGATGGATTAATAGATGCAGATGGAAATGTCAGCAAAATCTGGAATTTATTCTCTAAAAGTTCTTTTCTTCATATACCAATTTGAACCACAATATAATGTTTAGCTTTCTGCTTAGTTTCTTAGTTCATCAGTTCATATATTTTGAGTAATCGTGTCATATAGAATTTAGTAGTTCCAAAGCTTCTTTTTGTACCTGGAACAATAGAAGTGAAAAAAATTATTTGATACAGCATGCAAATCATGTAAAAATAGTTGTGTTAATTCATTCTGTTCTGCTAATTTGCCTTTGGTTATTTTTTAAGAAAATAGAGGATTACAGTGAAGAAACTGGATAAGTTCAATAACATTTGAGGACCAAAAGTTTAGCAGTCTATGCAGACATTGATCTCCAGGAATAGATCAGATAGAAACTGATGCAATGTGAAGGTAGCCTCCTTCTGGAAATCAGACTGGCTCTCTTTTTACTGCATTTCTCAAAGGCCAGGCTTTTTTGCTGAGCCTTCCCCAGGTTTGATAGTACCATCTTAAAAAAACACCCTTGTTTTTATTTTTGTATGGGGTTTTTTTCTGCATTTCTTTTTAATGTGAACAGCAAAGAGTTTTTCTTTATTGCATTGGTATACAAAGTGGTATTGGTATACAAATTGGTATACAAAGATGTTAAACAAACAAACATTGGGCACTGAGAGCTGGTTTCAAGTTTATGCTTAGTTACAAACTTGAGTCAATAACCATCACTCAAATCAGTTTACCACAGGGCTGCTATAAATTAAAACCGACAAGCCACTCTTCCAGGTAAAATTCTCACAAAGAAGTACAGTGGAACCCTACTAGAGTACCATATCAAGTTTATGAAATCCTTTTCAACCCATTCAATTCTTTTCCCTGAAAAAGGGATAGAAAGAAATCTACAGGAAATTATTCTAACCATCAATCGTAAAACTTAGCTTTGATGAAAAACATTAACAATACTTATTAACAATGTTCATAATACACCAGATCTAACATTTCTATAATCATTTTATAGTCGGTTACCAATCTAATGTTTCATAAAAAAAATATGACTTATTTCAATATACATTTCCAAGATTTCTTTAGATTAATAATTTATTAAACTTAAATTAAAGCTGTCAAGATCCCAGTACCCCTGAGATGATTACTCTCAGCAATGGCGATATTGGCTGGTTGGTTCTGAAAGTAAGACAATATATTACCAAGATCAGGAAACACAGCTTTAGGCTACAGTGTGAAGCTAATGAAAGCACTTATGTAGGTTCAGTAAGTGTTCTAGCACAAGAATACTTAAAAATGTTTTTTCTATATCTATATACGTATCTGACTGTGAAAATAGCTTACCTGCTTATCTTCCTCTGTATGTGGTAGCCTATCTCTAGCTTTTGTTAGCCAGAGAAGGGCCATCTTTTTATTATTTAATTTGATGTATGTCTTTCCTAAGAACAGCAAGTTTTTACTATAGAAATTTGGTTCAACTACAGAAATAAAAACAAACAAAAAACTTCTGGTTTTTAATTTATAATGTAAAGCTTATTTGCCTCTAACATTTTAAAAAGTTAAGCATAATCTCAGTATATATATATATAGAAAAGAAAGATTAAGTGCTACTTTTTACTGGGTGATAAAGGATATTTGGTTCTATCTGCACTGTAATGTTTTCATTTCATATCCCTAGATCTACATTCTGTATTAAATCTATATATCTGATTCATATTAAATTGTTCAACACATTTTAAAGTTGAAAATTACTTTGCTTCTGTTCCTCAATATGAAAATCACTTCAATATACATTTTTATAATGCAAATTCTGATGCAAGTTCGTTTATGACTGAAACATTTCACATTCCTCTTCAGAGCACTTTATAATGTATAAATAAGTGGTTTTAAATAATTTTTATCTTCTCATGATCAATAGAAACATTTTTATAAACAAAGAAGAAATGCTTGTTTTAACATAATAAACTCGTAACACGCTCTTGGGATGGTGTATTAAATAGTGTAATTAAAAGGTTGCATATTCAATACTCAGTTTCAGTACTCTTGAAACATTATGTGTTTTCTAATTTATAAATTGAGTATTTCCCTAATGACTAGAGATGCTAATTTTTTAACACTACATTGATACCTCTGTAGATATATCATTAGATATAGGCAAAGAGAATTTTAAGAACTTTCATTTATCTATATCCTTGTTTTATATGCTATAAATATTTAATACTTTTTTATACTTTTAATTTTGATTTCAAAATTGTTGTGCGATATGCTTTCTTACATAACTTACCATTTTCAGCCTTTTGAAAGTACTGTAATGCCTAGAAGACATTAATATTAACATTAGAATACTATTAAAGTAATCCAAATCCTTCCATTTCAATTAAAATTCTTCAATAACTGCAATGTAACTTGTGTTTTCTAAGAAATACTGTTGAGAAAAGGGAATGCTATGCTTTATAATTTATATTCAAGATATATTTATTTACAAACGTAATTAAACTTATTTTATGTATTTTATGAAATAGCTTTTATACTATAATATCAATAAGTTGTTAGTCATTTAATAGATGGTACATTTATTTTTCAGAATCTCAAGATTTATCCAAAAATATACTGCCTGACACTATAGTCTCACAGCTTATAACGACTAACCTTTCCATCTGCTTTTCTTTCATTGTTTTAAAGGATAATACATCAAAAAAGAAGAAGCTATATAAAATATTAGTGGGACACATACTTCTTCATAGGTAGAACTAGGTGGTGTTGAGAATAAAACAGTAGCTATGTTCCTCTGATACCATGGCATATCAGCAAATGTGTAGCACCTGTAACATAAGGAAAATGTATTTAAGTATATCTCCTAAGGTCACAATATTTAAAATCACATGACTAGAGGAGGTCAGTGAAGTCTAACTTTAACCCAACTCTAGAAAGGTGTATGCCTAACTTACTACTATACTTTCAGATCACTGCTAAAGAGCAACTAGAGAAGGCTGTAAGTTATATACCAATTAAGTGAAAAAAGGCCTCACTGGCTGTTTTTTTTCTATATGAAAACTATTTTTTTTTTATTTCCAAACATCATGACTTGGCTAGTTAGATAAGTATATAAATATTTACTTTAAAGTGATTTTGAGACTAGGGAAAGTAAGCCAAACACATTCCCTTCTGGATCTATGCTATGCTTGCTGGGTAAGTTATAAGAATGGGATTAATTTAGCTTCTCAGTGGAAGAGGAAAGGCAGGTATAAAGGTGGCATAAAGTATTAGAAACCTCCAGGACAACAAGTCAAGATTAGAGAGAAGAAACTGATCAATGAAAGATGAGGCTGACAGTTAACATACAACAGTTGCTAAAACAGACTAGCTATTTGAATAATTGTTGGAGACAGAATAATTATTGTTGTCCAGATTAAAAGTGGCTGGTAAATTACAGATGGATTGAACATTTAATTAAGATTTTTGGGATGCTGGGTGAGATTAGGATAAGACTCACCAAAGCATTCAAGAATTGCTGAAGAAAAATGCCAAAGAGGAACAAATACACCCAATTGTGGGGACACTTGACTAGATGATCCTTAGCCAGGGTTGAAGATAGATGGAAGAAATATCTATTAAGAAGATATGTAGTTTTTTTGTTGTCGTTAGTTGCGAAGTCGTGTCCGACCCATCGCGACCCCATGGACAATGTTCCGCCAGGCCTTCCTGTCCTCTACCATCTTCTGGAGTCCATTTAAGCTCACGCCTACTGCTTCAGTGACTCTATCCAGCCACCTCATTCTTTGTCGTCCCCTTCTTCTATTGCCCTCAATCTTTCCCAGCATTATACTCTTCTCTAGTGAGTCCTTCCTTCTCATTAGGTGGCCAAAGTATTTGAGTTTCAACTTCAGGATCTGACCTTCTAAGGATCTGGCCTTCTCCTCTAGGACTGACCAGTTTGATCGCCTTGCAATCCAGGGGACTCGCAGGAGTCTTCTCCAACACCATAGTTCGAAGGCCTCAATTCTTTTGCGCTCAACCTTTCTTATGGTCCAACTTTCACAGCCATACATTGCAACTGGGAAAACCATGGCCTTGACTGTACGCACTTTTGTTGGCAGGGTGATGTCTCTGCTTTTTAGTATGCTGTGTAGATTTGCCATAGCTTTTAGCACACATCATATTGTATTGTGTTGCACTGTTAATTTTTATGCAGTTATGATAATGTTTGGTTGCCTGCATGAATAATTTGTAACTACTGTTTTTATGGTTTTAGAACTAACTGAATCAAGATGGGCAGCTATAGAAATGGAATGAATAAATAAATAAAGTTTTGCTTACTAAGAATGTTTTGAGAAAGTCTAGAGAAAAATACCTGAAGTGTACAAGAGTATGCTTAGAGAAGTTGGGGGAGATTTATTCATAAAAGAATGCTGAAGCTGAATTGTAAAAGTCTTCATTTACTTGGATAAGGCTTGGCCAATACTCAAACTGCTAATAATATGACTAACAAATCAAAGCCTGTATCTGTTTCATTGTGTCTTACTTAGCCCTTTAAGACAAGCATATTAATCATTGTGTTTGCAGATCTTTAAGATGTGGTGCTATCTAGTTTGGAGCTTCTCAACATTAGGGAAGAAAAGAAGACCTTTTAAAAAAGGTTTTGAGCAAAATATTGCCACCTAGGATATAAATCAGTCAATAGGTTACAGCGAGAGACAACACTTATGATACTTGATCAGGAAAGTAAATGATAATGAATAATAAATGCAATCTTTAACCATTAGGTAAAAACTGGAGTGGGGAAATATGTGATATTTCAAATACTATCATATACAAGTCCCTGATCCCTTATGATTGCCATATTAGCTAGGGCTAACAAAAGTTGAAATGTAGTAATCACTGAAGGAAGGATCAATAGACCAAATTACAGTGGGAATGAATGTACCTTAGAAGACCTGAAGGATCAAGTGAGAGATACTGTTATATCTTAATTAGAAGGAAAAGAGGATAGATCAAATACAATGTTTTAAAAACACAACTAGTGGAGACATATTGCTGAAATTTATACATAATGTTACATATATTATAAAACAATGCTGTTAGGGTAGTTCATTTGTTCAGGAACTTATTGCAAATACTAAAAACATTATACAATTACTTCACATTCCACATTATCAGACAAAAATGTTGGCATTTCAAATATAATTTTGTTTAGAAAGATTGTCTTACCAAATGCCCATAAGATGAAGTGAAGTAGCATCCTTTGGATTCAGATCAATTGCTTTCTGTTTAAAAAAACCCACAAAAGCATTTATTCATCATTGCTTAATATTTACTCCATAACTCCTACCTTCCCCCTTACATAATCCCTAGCAATAATGAAATTACATTTTGCATATCTTTGTCTGAAAAAAGTAATGAATTTCATATGGTTTAAGGAGAAATATCCTTAATATTTAGTGCACATATCTATTTGTAGCTTGTACAGATCACATTTACATCCTGATGGTTGAAAGCTAACATTAAGTTAAGTTTGCTGGCATCCAACTTTCTCTGTTCAAGCTCACAAAACTATATTTGAAAACACAAATATCCTTCTGAAAGATATAGTTGAAGGTAAAAGGAAATATGGAAGAAATTATAATCAGGGATATACAACTGTCAACAGGTGCTCTCTAGGATTTATATCTGTCCATTCAACAACCTAATTCAAGTATTTCAAGTATTCTAAGAAGTACATCTTCTAAAAGAGAATGTGGTTTATTATATTCTTGATACCACTGGAACACCAAAAATCACCTCCAGGATGAAAATGAGACAAACTGTTCCATTTTGTATCTTAACTTATTTATCTACTTCAAAGGAGCTTATTAACCAGGACATAGGTAATCTCATGGAGTTTACTTTAACTATTATGTACTGTAAGAGAAATGGACCATAAAAGATCTCTAATAATGCAGGAAAAAGTTGAGACCATTAGAAATAGTGAATTCTTAAAACATGTAATATGGCTGAGCTTTAGTGAACTTAATACAAGCCATACACAAACATTTGAAGCATGGATTAAGGGGAAAATGGCCAAATAAACAAATACATTGAGATGAGTTAGTCTTTTCTGCTCTATATTTTAAAAATTAATTAAACAAATAAATGCTAATTTCCTACTTCATAAAATTATGCTTTGAAAAATTTAAACTGCTCCTTATGTTCGTTATTTTAACACCCCCTAAAACAAAGTAGTTTATTAACTACACTGAAAAGGATAAAAATGTAAAACCTAAACTACAGAAGTTGTCAGGCTCCTGGGACTAGAACTGTGTCCCTTAGCAAGCATGCAGCAAGCATAAATTACCGCCTCTAGAAGAAGAATGGCAAGACTTTGGAAAAATAAAGGACTATCATTCTAAATTCATGCTCATCCTGCCTTTTCTTACCCTTCTTTGGTTCCTTAATATTTACATGTATCCAATGTAGGCTTCAAAAATGTTACATTTTTGGATAATTTTTGAAACAAAAATGTATTTTTGTATATGTTAGACAAAATCCATTAAAATATTTTAAGCATTCCCTATTAATGAAGACAATGACAATTCAATGATTCATATATAATACAACAATTAAAAACCTTTCAGTTTCTAATTCATTCATCATCATAAATTGCTCTTCCATCATGTTCAGGTTTGTGTGGCAAGTTAAGATTAATACAAAAGTTGATAATTTTAAATACCTGGAAATGTTCTTTTATAACAAAAGCACTGGCAATTTTGTTCTTTATTCCTTCATAATCTCCCACATCACTGAGACATATTGCATACCACTAAATGAAAAGAATAGATTATTTAGCAATATAAAATTATCATACTGTCAATAAAACATTTTTAACTATACTACACAAAGATTTGTTAACTGAAGCTTCAGTCAATAGGGAATGCTAGGTGGTTAACTGTCTAAAATGAACTATAGTTAAAACTAAATTGAATGGCATAGAATTTCTTAAAAGTCCGAGCTGAAGGAGGTTTTAAACCAAGTAAAGATTACATAAAAGTCCTGAGAGAATAAATTATATAATTTTGAAAGAGTGAAGAACCTTTCCCACATTCTACATTCAGACAGGTTTCTGAAAAAAATAGACATTTAAAAGAAATTGAATTTTAATGTCTAGACAGGTTCATACTCAAACAGGACATGACTAGCTATAACCGTCCAAGCCATTCTAGGCTTTTAAAATTAAAACTTGAAATAAAAAATAACTGGCAATAACTTAGTTCAATTACTCTTCTATGATTTATCTTACACTATGCAACACTTGTGTTTTAAAAGCAAAAGGGTGCTCTGGAACATGCAGGGATACTTAAGTTATATGTATCTTCATCTTTTAAAGCAACTGAATCTTTTCTTGGGATCATGCAGCTACTTCTGCATCCTTTTGCCTTTGAGTATATCTTAGTATGTATCACTAGTTGCAATATTTCAATAATATTGTATCTACTTTAAAACAATTAAGTCAGTAGAAATATTACTGCAGCTAGTTTCTGGAAATTTCTGATCTCAGTTCATTTGGTAGACTGGTTTGAAATGATAATTGCTGCATAATTACTGTATACTAATTAAATTAATTGAATATAAGTTTATTATTTAAGATATGAAAGAATTGTTGCAATTTTCCTTTCAAATTTCTACCAAGTGTAAATTATTTGTTTGTCTGACCTTGTGTACACTATAACAAGTGTTGTCTTTCTCAAGTGCCTTCTTTGCATAATCAAGGGCTTCATAAGCCAGCTGCTTCTTTTTTTCTGCTGAAGTTTGACTAAGCTGAGCAAGGTCTCGTAAAGCTCGTGCCAGACGCCACAACACTTGTGCATTTTCACTGCATATTAACATATATAATAGGATGTATTGATTATGATGTACCGTAGTAAGGTATCAATGTAAAGACATATTTATTATACATTTACTACCAAACAATAGTTCTGTGGGAGAACTTTATATAAAATAAAACAATTTAAAACAATTTAGTAACACAGCACTGCATGAGACTATAATAATTGTTAATTAACGGGTATTTTGCAGCGAACCGAATCTAGTGAAAGTAGAGGTACTTTACAAGTGTAATCAATTCCAGAAATTAAAGTCTGGGGATATTCAAATTTACCCAGAGAACCAATTCCCAATCTCCTAAATGCATTTAAAAATTGATCTTAGAACTTCAAACTGTTTTATTGCTCATTTATTGCTCGGTGCATAGTGCCATGTGATATTATTTCATTTTGAGTATTTTGTTTTCCATTGAAAGCAATTAGAAGAAAAAGTTGTTTTTTAAATGAGAGTAAAGGACTCAAGAGGTCCACTATAATGTATTCTAAAATTCTGATTTCAACCCTTCCACATATCTAGTGATTTTGTATCATAGCTGTGTGCTCTATGCCAACCTCAGCCCATTAGAACATGCTGAAATAGCATACTGTACCTGTTCTTGTGTTCACTCAGCAACTGATAAAGCTTTTGGGTTTCTCCACTTCCATAGAGATAGTCTGCTTGATCTAGGATTTCATCAACTTATGATATAATAAAACAAGAATTCAGTGAATATGCCCATCTGTGAAGCAGGTATTATTTAATAGAAAAATATTTCATGTCATTGCATACAGACATACTAATATTACAAGTCAGGAATAGAAGACAGTTTTAATAGAAGTAGCATCATGGTAGTCAAAACACATTTCTATCAACAGCTCTATTGTATTATTGGCACAACAACCCAAAGCAGGGGTCCTTAATCTGTGGGCCGTGGCCTATTGGCCACCGGGCTGCATGAGTGGCTGGCAGACGCACACATGTGCGCACAGCCCCATTCATGTGAGCGTTGCAGGCATTTGCGGTCCCATTTGCGTGAGTGTCACAGGTGTTCAGGGTCCCACTCGTGTGAGCGCCGCCACAGGTGCTCATGGCCCCACTTGCGTGCACGTTTACCCCTCCCACAAAACCATCCCTTCTCTCTCCCCTCCCCCACGCTCCAGGCCGCAAACCCCAAAAGGTTGAGGGACTCTGACCCAAAGGAAACATATAAGTATTAGACAATATATAAAAGGACAAAGTCAGAGAAGAATATGACAGGTTTTTGAATAAATATGTTAATAAGTTAAATATGATTTTTATACATGTATTTACAAAAAGGTAAACTTTGTAAAGAAACAAAATATGAAAAATCCACTTTATATACATTTTAAACTATCAGCAACAAATTCTATATCAATCTAGATATCTGTGCCAATCTTCATCTCAATAATCATCTTATGGCTGAGTTTCCACCTCATCAATATTTTTCTAAATAAATCCCTTCTATCTGATTCATTTAAATATATAATTAATTACTGAGCTTCAAAGTTGTTTAAGAGTGCTAATAGAAAGCATACAAAATTATAGTGCAGTTTCCAAGATCTCCCGAAGATGGGTCCAATATTTTCAGACTCTCCTCTTTTGTATAGGGCATGAGGGGTGAAATGGATTTCTTAAACCTTCAGGATTTTAAAATACTGAATTGATTGAAAGAATCAGGCTGATATTCCCCCTTTTCATTTTAGAAAACAAAAAGAGTATCTAAATATTTGCAAGGCTGAATTTTTCTTCATTGAGTCACTTCAGAGCTAGGCCTCAGAACCATCAAATACCCCTTTCCACTTGATATTCCCCATAGATCAAATAACTTTGACCTTGCTATCCTTTTATTGGGTACAGAAGACCTGGATTTTCCTCCTGGCCTTAGATAAGGTGGATTCAGTGTGTTTTCTACTGGGTATGTTGTTTCCCTGGTTATATTGTTTTATTATATTGTACCATTTTGTACTGTATTGTATTATATAACTTGTATGCCACCAGAGTTCTGATGAGTTGTGTGGCTTTATAAATTTGATTTATAAATAAAAACACAGAGAGAAAACAAGTTGTATTTTTTACCAACAGCCATACTCAGTCCTTCCTCTAATAACAAAAAAAAAATCAGATTATATTTTAGCAATAGAGGATTGGATTTGACAATTGTGCATTTTTAGAATTTTTTCTTACCTTTCACATCAGCCCAAACCATAGCAGACTGAGAAATTACTAGATAAGTGTTGTATCCCAAGTAAGACAATGCTGAGAATATAAACCCTCTTCTGAAAATTCTGGATTTTTCAAACACCTAATAAAAAATTCAACATAGCTATTTACAAATCTGATGCCAATTTTTCTTATCCAAGCATATATGTTCACAAAGTGGGCTAAAGGTGGAATCTGAGCATTGGTATTGAGCACTATGGTAAGTCATATTGTGGCTTACTATAATATCATTGTTTTTTATGGTACTTCACATCTTTCAGTGTGTTAAAAACTACCTATTGTATGTCACAACTCTTTAGCTCATTCTGTTGATAAACTCTATATTTCTGCCCCCCAAATAATTCATTGCTACCTTTGGTTCTCTCTCAGTTGTGACCATTTTAATCAGGGCATCTTGTTTACAATGAAACAAAATATTGTAAGCTTAAAGACCTCAAGTATCAGTTACCTTTTCCTCCTGTTAGTATGCATGAAAAATAGGTATTTAAAACCAAGCAGGCATTCTAATCATGTACTTTACAATGTTTAAGGTTTTCTAAGAAATTTTAGAATATGGATTCCGATTCTTTCTATTGCACTCATCTTGGAGAACATAAGTACAAACACACATAAGCTAGTCAAAGTGTGGCCTGAATTTACCAGTTTACTAGTTCTGCCTTAGGCACAAAGCCACCTGATCTCCGGTCATTCCTCTTAATCTTTCCCTCAGCCTAGGAAGGAGGCAATGGGAAATCACTTCTGGAAATCTTATCAAGAAAACTGCAGAAGTAGCCAGGCAGTTGTCAACACTGACTTGAAGGCATAAAACAACAATAAAACCATGAAACCCTCCAAGTTGTTTGGACAACCATTTCCCCTCCCTCCCTCCTTCAGGGGAAGGGGATATTTGTCCAAGAACAAAATACTACAAGAATAAAATAGACGTTAAGAACAATTTGAAAGCATCACGTCAGTAAGAATGATTTTTTAATCTCTTTATGACCTGCTTCTCAGTAAAGCAAACATTCCCAAAAATGCCATATTTTTTTCTCAAAGAAAAACCATAGGTTTATTATCCTAATTTTTCGGATTTTTCCCGCTCAGCAAATTAGGAAGCTCGCAAAAAGAGTATCACAGCTCACCCTCACAAGCTTAAGGAGTAATTAACGGGGAGAAGGCGAAGGCAGATAAAAAAAACATTTAAGAGAGCCACGCTTTTCCCCCTAAACCAAGACCCATCATCATCTTCTTTTCCAGAACAAACTCGGGCCCTGCATCCAGTTTTGGTCACCGCAATGTAAAAAAGATGTTGAGACTTTGGAAAGAGTACAGAGAAGAGCAACAAAGATGATTAGGGGACACCTCCGATTTCGTATATTCCTTGCCGACGACCTTAACCCATACAGATCAAATTACTTCTCTTCCTGCTCCCCCGACATGATAGCAGTGTTCCAATATCTCAGGGGTTGCCATAAAGAAGAGGGAGTCAAGCTATTCTCCAAAGCGCCTGAAGGCAGGACAAGAAGCAACGGATGGAAACTAAGCAAGGAGAGAAGCAACCTAGAACTAAGGAGAAACTTCCTGACAGTTAGAACAATTAGCCAGTGGAACAACCTGCCTCCAGAAGCGGTGAATGCGCCAACACTGGAAGTTTTGAAGAAGAGACTGGACAGCCATTTGTCTGAAATGGTATAGGGTTTCCTGCCTGAGCAGGGGGTTGGACTAGATGACCATCAAGGTCCCTTCCAACTTTACTACTATTATTATTATAGGAGAGGATAAGACGGGATGGGCCTATAAACCAGTCATACCTCGACTCCCCTTTTCCCTCCATGACCTAAAGAAAGGTGACGGCTGCAGCCGGATTTCATTTTCAAGAAACGGGTCTCCCAGAAACAGCAGCTCCGAAGCCAGCGTCGCACTGCAGTCCTCCCCAGCGCCATGACAAAAACGTTTCCTTGCTATTTTTTCCGCCCCCGCTCCTCAAATCAGTCTTTCCTCGCATATGCCGGAAACAGGAACTGCCTGTTTAACTCCACAGCATTTTTACATCTCTGTGATCTACACCGGAAAAGCCCCATGTTCCCTTCTAAAAAAAGTCCGGAAGGAACAAGATTCAAGTTGGATTCATTCCGCTCTTCCTTGGCAACCGCTGTCACAACTGCGATTTCCCAAGCACCTCACCGCTCTCTTGGCTCTTCCCTGCGGACTTAGTTTTTTTTTCTTTTTTCAACTGGCAGGGGAATTCTGGGAGTTGAAGTCTAGAAATCTTAAAAGTTATCCAGTTTGAAAAAGACTTCACTACGTTGGCTTTCCACGCGCGGAGAAGCTGAGTTGCCAAAGTTCTATCACGCGACCCCTATCATTTTCAGGAGAAGAGGAGCATCCCACAAAATTTTGGTTGGTCTAGGAATCTTAAAAAACAAACAAAAAAACCCACCTTTACAGTGGTTTACAGACGCAAAGCAGAGCGCATGCGCCTTTTGGTGCCAACAACTGGCTGGCTTTCCACGTTGGGAAAATTGCTTGGATTACACAATTGGGAGCGAGGAAGGGGGAATAGCAGAAGCGCCGCCCCTAAAATACCTGAGCGGCCTTACCGCTGCAGCTTGCATTGCATTGCATTGCATTGCATTATATTGCATTGCTTCGTGGAACAGAACTGGGCGAGGCCGGAGAAGAAGGATCTCTGCTCACGGAGGCTGGTGTGATCTCTCGAGGTCGGTACATTGGCGAGTATGCCTTCCACAGTCTTCCCTTCCAGATGGGTCGAATTGCATCCTTTTTTTTGGTCGGGGTGGCCGGGGGATGATGGACCTTGAGGGCATCAATTTGGGCAACACTAGTCGACGTAGAAGAAATGGAGCTCGGAGGGGGCCGAGGGATAAAAGACGGAAAAGGTTTGTTTGGGAGAGTAGGAGAATAACTGCAGAGACAGAAAGTTTATATAAATAGGTTGATTGCTATTGATTCTTAATACGTAATACGTTGGTGGTAGATTACAGGCCGGGATACAGCTTTTGGGCAATTAGTATCTATATTGTAGATAATTTTGGAAAAAGAAGAAGCTGCCAATAGGTGTGGCTGCTGGGACATATTGGGTGTGTGAGGAATCAAAGGCAATGATATGCTAGGTCCACTTAATGCCTTACCTGTGCAGGTTGTGACAAGAGAAAGGATGAGAAGGAGAAGATTTAGTACTGTTCAGATACTGCTCATTTCTTTTAGGAAGTTGGAGTCCACTGTTAGGAACAAAAACCTATTTGGCTATTTACTCTTGTCTTTCATTTAGAAATTTGTGGGTGCATGCATGTCTTCAGGTCCTGGTGACTGCCTGGACAAGACTCTCAATTTTCTTAGCAAGATTTTGGAAGTGCTTTGCCATTGCCTGCTTCCTAGGGCTGAGAGGGAGTGGCTGGTCAAAAGTCACCCTTGCTGTCTAGGGCAGAACTAAAGCTCTGGGTTCCTAGCCTGAGGCCTTAACCACTACACCAAACTGGCTCCTTCAGAAGTATAAGGTTGCATTTTTTCTGAAAAAGATATTATGGTTACAGATATTTGTAATTTACTGTTTTAAAAAGTGTTTCATGGGTCCCATCTATGCTGCTGCTGAGTCCTTTCTTTACCACCGATTGAGAACCTCTGGTTTAGACCATCACATGACATTGTGGGACCCAGTGTTAGCAGATAGCAGTGCTGTATTTTTTCCTTAGTCTTTACGTTTAGCTGGACTAAATATTATTACAAAATAGCCCACAGATTTTCTACATTTTCTTCCTTGTGAAAGAATGCTTATGGTATCCCAGATTTATAAGAGGAGGGGTATACAAAGAAAGGTGTTGTTTTTCCATCATGCTCCCTGTAATTTGCAACAGACTTCTGGAAGCTAGGTTGCTCCCCTCCATGATTGTGTTCTGGGAAATTTTGAAGACTGAACTCTTCTGGAAGGCCCTTAAAAATGACTATGCAGCATCTGAAACTGAATTTATTGGTTGTATTATGTGTGTGGATGTGCATAATTGTATTAAAGTTTTTAAAAATAAAAACTAGCAAGAACTAATAGAAAAAGACAAAAGTGCAAAAAGGAAAGAAAAATATAGAAGCAGGTTCCAATTTTCTTTATAGAAGTTATAAGTGAAAAATGTAAATTAACCACTTTATATAGATGTTCACCCTGCCTTTATTGCTCTATAAATAACTCAAAATAACAAACATACATAATAGCTCTTTCTCCTATTTTACAACAACAACAACCATGTGAGGTGAATTGGGCTGGGAGAGAGTGACTGGCCCAAACTCACCCAGATGGCTTTCATGCCTATGGCTGGACTAAAACTCATTGTCTCCTGGTTTTTAGGCCAGCACGATAACCACAACATGAAACTGGCTCTTGATTACAAAGTTTACATTTTTTTCTGTAATCTGTTTTTTTAAATCATCAAAACCATATGTCATATGGTTTTTTTTAGTTTCATGCAAAAAAGTCTATAGGTTTCCAGTCAAGTTTACTGATTATATTCATGATGTGTTTATTTTGTTTATTTAACACATTGTTATGGAGGATTTATATCACTATGAGATACTTAAAATTTGATAGGATGTAGATTTGATAAATAATTGAAAACAGTTCAAAGCAGGATAAACAATTGACTAAATATTAGAACTAGCCCTTACATACCTCAAACTAGTGTAAGAATTCCTAACAATGTCATCTATCGTTTGAAATGATCTAATCTAACGTACTCCACACACTAAAAGTTCAATATAAGATTTCATTTCGACACATATATTTTAAGTACACAATAGGTATAGACAGAATTATACGAACTAACTTTCTTTCTCATTTATAAATCTGTTATATTCTTTGCAGTAGATAACATGGCATGATATATCAAGTCTAAATGGTAAATTAAGTTACATTAAGTACAATAACAGCTGGAGGGATATAGCTTCAAAAATTATATGTGGGTACAACTTGCTAAATAAGCTAATAGATATGTGCAGGGTACATATGATAATTGATTTTCTCATTCCATGTTGCAGATGGCAGCACAGTGTGTAACAAAGGTGGAACTGACTGTTTCTTGTAATAATCTCCTGGATAAAGATATTAGCTCCAAGTCAGACCCTCTTTGTGTGCTACTTCAATACACAAGTGGACAGCAATGGTATGAGGTATGTTATAATGGCCATTGGGCTATTTAATACAGTCTGTTTGCTTTACTATTGGGAAATAGCAAGTTCAGGAAGTCTTTATTAAAGTATTAGGACTCCTTTTTTTAAAACAAAAATGCACCATTAACCATTTCAAATGGCAGTTTCTACACATTCGAGCCGTCTAAGAAGTGCTCTGTTTTGTTTTCCTTTTATTAGAAAATTCATTTTGCACATATAGGATTGCATCCCACTTTGCCATTCTTGACACAAAAACAGAATAGTAGTTCTTATGCCAGGTGTCTTGTAAATCTTTTTATCGGAAAATTGAGTGACTTTTCGGGAGATGGAATGTGCATGACCCAAAGTTAAAGAAGTGTGAAAGAACTCCTATTACAAAAAGTCTTTGACTTATGACTACAATAGGGATGCTATGTGGTCATAAAACACAACATTTTGGCAATGGGCCAAAATAACTGCCATACCTTGAAACCGCTACTGAAAGAATGGTTATAAATCGAGGACTACTTGTAATTGAATAGGTGTTCCTTGATAGCTTTGCTGTGTCTTGTGCAAAGAATAAAATAATGTCAATTTAAAAGTACATATTTTCTGGTTTTGCTAAAATTGCATTTTATATTAAAAGACTTTACATAATATTTCAAATGCTTCTGAAAAATATAAAAAAAACAGTGGTATCATAACATTTTTCATATTTATTTGGAATTTAATTATTGATGCAGTCTAAAATTATATTTGTATTATATATTGGGGGTTTACTATATTTACTTTCATTTATTCGATTAATAAGGTTTTTTTTGATAAACTCTACATTTTAGCAATTTGCGAAGGAAAATCTGTCAGCATTCTTTCATTGTAAAGATTTTTTTAAAAAGATTTCTTCATGCCTAAAATGTACTGTTTATACTTTACAAAATTTTCAGCATAATCCTGTGTAGATCCATTTATACTTACTGAGATTTATGCATATCATTTTATTTATTATTTTATGCCCGCTTTATTGCTTTATGAATTATTCAAGGAGGCAAACATATTTATTATTCCTTCCTCCATACTAATATAAATGGGCATGGGATTGCATGTTTACTCCTATTTTCTTTAAATTTCTTGGGGAGAGTGCATTTTCCAGAATGCTCAAACAGAAATTTGAGAAATAAAAAAAATTGTACTGTACTGTATTGTAGGTTGATCGCACAGAAAGGATCAAAAACAGTTTGAACCCTAAATTTTCCAAGAAATTCCAGATTGATTACTATTTTGAACTAGTTCAGAAACTCAAATTTGGGATTTTTGACATTGACAATGCAACTGTTCAGCTGAACGATGATGACTTCTTAGGAGAATTTGAATGCACACTGGGACAGGTATGTGCAAACGGGTTCTGGACATTACTTAAAATATAATAACATTGGCCAGGGTGGGAAAAGGCGAAAACCCATTGACAAGATACCTTTATTTTGAGAAGGGACATTCTGTTATAACCAGCTTGCCTGATTAACAGATTTTTGTATAATTTCAGTTAATTTGTGCTTTCTGTTGGTTTCATTCTAGAAATTGTAATTTGTTCATTTACCATTCAATTTGATCCAGCAAATGGCAAGACTTGAAATCCCATTTATGCTAAAATTAATTAATGTGTTATTCCTTGCACATACACAGTGAAAATGGAGGAAATTGCTACTTATTGTCTACCTCCTTTTCATTTAAAATTACTATATTCTTTAAAAGCAATTTGAAGATTTTAAACCATTTTTAAAATCAAAACAGAAATTAAAAGCATGAAACTAGTAGGCTACTTAAAAGTCTTTCTAATTTAATGTGTGTGAGTGCATATGTTCAGGCCTTCAAGTCAGTCTTGACTCCTGGCAACTGCCTGAAGATGTCCCTGCACTTTCCTTGACAAGATTTCAGAAATGGCTTGACATGCCTCCTTCCTAGGGCTGAGGAAGAATGACAAGCCCAAAGTTACTGAACTGGCTTCATGCCTCAGTCAAGACTACCGGTAGTACTCACAGTCTCCAGGTTTCTAGCTTGGTGTCTTAAGCACTTAAACCAAACTCGTTCTCTCAGTATAACATACTCGGCTGATAAAATAGTGGATTTTGCACTGGGTGAGATTTGGACTAGATCGAGGGTGTCAAACCCGATCGCATCGCGGGCCATATCATGACATATCGGGACTTGTTTTGCCCTTGCGGGGCTCGAGTGGATGTGGCCTGCGCGGGCCGCATCTGGCCCGTGGCCCCGTGTTTGACATGCCTGGACTATATGATCTTCAAGGATCCTTTTTGCTGTTATATTCTGTGACTGCAGTTAAAAAATAAGTATGCGTGAAGATGTCATTGAGACATCTGATTACTTTGGTAGTTGAGCCATAATAATCATGACTTTTTATACTAACATTTGTTAAAACAAGAAGATCTGTAAGGCAGATATAATTTTCCTTTTTTTATCCCCGGATATATTGTAGCTTCTCTCATATCTTCCTTACTGCGATATTTTCTATTCCATCTTAACTGGGAAACTAATTAAGTTTTAATTTAAATTAAATGTAAGACTTGAAGTATAAAAAGCAGCAATGAGCAAAGGGGGCAGTGGTGGATATTATGGATTTGATTATAGTTTTTGACTTATAAAACATTTATTGCATCTGGAACAACCTTCAGTTGCTAGAGGTGGTAATTGTAATAAATTGCTTTCTTTTCCTGAATATTTCTGTATTTTACAGATTGTTTCTAGCAAGATGCTTACCAGACCTTTATTGTTAAGAAATGGCAAACCTGCAGGAAAAGGTGTAATTATGGTATGAAAACAGAGCAGAAGTTTTCTGATTGATTATTTTTTACTTTTCTCTTTTCCACCTGCTTCCAGTATATCAATATAAGCAAGAGAAATGAATGATCTGTCATTCCAGCATAGTGTGATTTACTTTTGTGAAATGAGCATTTGAAGATTTGTAAACTGTTTTTCTATGAACTTAAAAACTATTTATTGTTTATGTTTTCCTGATTTGTTCAACATTTTCTTCTTCATTTTTCTGGTCTGAAAAATAGGTAGCTATATTTTTAATCCAAATACTATTTTGCTTGATGCTGCATACAAGATTTAGCTTTATATTTTTAAATAGTAATCTTGTTTTCTAAATTCTTTTGAAAATTAAAAACATTTTTAAAATAGTTCCAAATAGGATGGCATATATGTCTTTTATTCCGATGAAAACAAGGCAGAATCTCATTGAGTAAAGCCAGGGCAAAAATATAAAAAATTACTTGCAACTGCATGAAATATTATTATTGCTTCTGAAACTGATAGAAATGTCACATGTTCATCTCGTAGAATCTTCCATTTGTTTTCTGTTGTTTGATTTATAAAATAAGACATAGCCATAATTTATTAGAATGGAATGCCTTAACGGTAATATTAGTCTGTATTTACCCAGATTAGTGCAGAAGAAATAAAAGACAACCGTGTAGTCCTACTTGAAGTTGAAGCAAGGAAACTGGACAATAAGGTGAGATAACTGGAAAACTTGCCCACCTTAATTTCTAAAATTTGTTTCCAGGGTTAGATATCTGCCATCAAAAAGGTGATTGTTAGCTAAAAATGTTGCACTCCTTTTTCTAGATATAGGTCCTCCAGAGCAATATTTCTCTTGACATGTTCCTGTATAAGTGGCTGTTTTAGGAATCATTATATTCAGATTGTCACGTTATGGCAAATTTTACTCAAAATTGTAAACCTGGTTCAAACTGTAGGCATAAGATCCTGGTTTTGGATTGTCATAATTTCTTAGTTTAGAATTACATTTTCTCATTCTACCAGGTCAGATGGAGGGGGGGACACACACCTAGGCACTCCTAAATATTGCCATCTGATGGCAGCTAGGAAGTGTGCCTTTCCCATGGCAGGCCCTGCCCTATGGAACCCTCTGCCTCCCAACATTTGGCATGATTCCAAGCCTTCCCTAAAGCTTTGAAGATCTAGCTTTTTCTCCCATTACTGGGATATTATTGCATTCTGCACATTGGAAGTCTGACTTGACACCAGGTTATTTTTAATGTTTTATCATATTTAATTTTATAAATTTAATATGGTTTATAGGCTGTTTTAATTTTTGATCGGGAGTCACCCAGTTGATTAAAAAATGGGTGGCTATATAAATGTTTTAAGTAAATAAAAGAAATAAATGAATGTAAATTAATTTACTAAATTGTAGTTTACAAATAAGTGGGATTCAAATGGGGGCATTTTGGAGAAAAAAGAAGCTCTACAGCCCAAATTATACCTAATTATGGTAGGACCATTGCATTTGCATTGTTCTAAGGATGGAATGTTATTAATTTTTAAATATTCATTTTTGGGGAATGAACTGGGAGATTAGTTCATTGAAATTGTAAAAATTGCAACAACTCTTGTTTCAGAAAGGAATGGTTATATTTACAGTGAACTTTAAACAAACATCTTCGTATTTATACTGATTTTTCATTCCTTGTTTAACCTGATTTTTTTGTTGTTCCCTTTCTAGTTTACTGCCATTGTTCCTTTTTTGGAAAACAATGTTTTATTGTTATGCATTCCCTGATTTTTTTCAAGGAAGAAAGTCTATTATCCAAGAAATTATACTTAGCCCTTTGCAAAGCTATCAGTGAGAGGAAACAAGCAGAATTGCTTTGGACAACAGGGCTATTACCACAAAAGAATACAAAGTTTTATTTGAAATATAATTCAGGTAGCTTATTTCTAATTCCAGGATTTGTTTGGAAAATCCGATCCTTATTTGGAATTTCACAAGCAAACATCTGAAGGAAAATGGGTGATGGTCCATAGAACGGAAGTAAGTGTCCTTTTCTGAGTTGGTTTGGTTATTTAATATCACAGATTATTTCAGCATCTTTAGCTCTGATTTCAGAAACTTTGCAACTAAATTCTGAATGGATAGCGCTTTAAAAAAAATCAGCTGTAAGTTTTAAGAAGGTTATTTTTTCATTAGATTTTTTTTCTTAATAGAACAATGTCAGTATTGGAATAACGGCCAAGTCTCTTCTATAGCAATACATTTATTATATTCTTGGATAAATTTGTGCTAGTTGTTGGAATAATTGAATAGCAGGTATTATCCAAAATGATTTATTCAGAAATCATGCTAATATATCTAAAATACATACTTTTATAGGTTGTTAAAAATAATTTGAATCCTGTCTGGAGGCCATTCAAAATCTCTCTCAACTCTTTGTGTTATGGTGACATGGACAAAGCAATCAAGGTAATATTGAAGGAAAGTAGAAATATCATTATAATTTGAAAATATTTTGAACAAAGATGTTTTAATTTAGAACCTTAACATAAATTTCTGTTCTGTAGCTTTATGAGATATGAATGAATTTATAATTAAATAGGATTTGCTAATGCTATTCTGAAAATTAAAGAGATTCATAAATATGGTAGCAAAATACATTGGTGAGTAGTGAACGATTTGATGTCAAAACAAGCAAACATTCTAATCAATTACCAAAATATCATAGATAGACCTTAGTTGACACAGAAGCTACCTATTCAAGAATTTTGTTTATTGTGTTTACGTATGATTGTTTTTTTATGATGGGAAAAAATAAATAAAATTTTCTAAGAAAAAAAAGAATTTTGTTAGTCTGGTGGCATCTATTGTATTAAACTATATTAGACTACAACTCCTACCACCATCCACCAGCAGACCTATTGACCTATTGGCCAGTCTTCAGCTGATGAAAAAGCAACATACAAGGTGGGGAAAGATAGTCTAGTTCACGGGTGTCAAACCTGATCGCATTGAGAGGCGTATCGTGACGTATTGGGATGTTTTTTGCCTGTGTGGGGGTGGAGTAGGTGTGGCCTGTGCAGGCCACATCTGACCCGTGGGCCGTGTGTTTGACATGCCTGGTGTAGTTCTTTAGTGATGCATCTGTAATTGAGTTTATGTAAGACCATGTTCGTCATCCATTTGTTTTTCTAAAATGCGATAAACCAGTAGTAGCTGGCTGGGTTTTACAAACTATTTTTAAAACTAGTCTTGCATATCTTACATCAAACCTGTTCTTGCTTCTATGCTTATAGGTCTGTTGTCTAATACTGTATCTTTAGGCCTTAGTTCTTTCTTTAATGGGAGAATTAATCTAAACCTTTTCCCCCCTTTAACAATGTTTTGGAATTTAAACACTACCCTGATAGCCACAATCACTCTCTAAGAGTGTTTGCAAGAATGTATTTCATGCGACCGTATCTCCAGAGCTGTTTAATGTGACATGCACATAGTTTGCTTCCCAGAAGTTCTCTCTATCTCCCTATCCCCCACAGCCTTATTTACACTATTAGTATTATTATAGTGCTTTCAACTTAACAAAACAAAACAAAACAGAAAAGAGGAAGTGAAGCATTCAATAGCAAATGCTGAATCACATAGTAATCCTGGCAGCAGGTTCCACAACAGAAGAACACCATCTCATCTGTTCACTCACATCTTTATTTCCTTGAATTCAAGGAGGAGTTTTTCAGCTTACTAATTTAATTTGGTTTCATCTTGCCTTGTTAGCTTTAATACTTTTTTGTTTACCCGTATCTTGATTTTCCACTCTCTCCCTATTTTGACTTAAGGATTTCCATAGGAAAGGAAAAATAATGAAAAAATAGTAAAGGTCATATTTTTATCTGCCATGATTGCAATTGGTATTTTAACTTTTTAGGAAAATTACTCTTTCCATTTTCATTCTTGCATAATTAATATTCTTAAATAAGCCATTTAATGCGAGTCTTACTTTTGATGGAGTAAAATCAACTGTCGTGAATGTTTGATCTGATGTGTGATCAGGCTTGCAGTCTAAGCTTCCTTATTAAGTACATCTGAGAAAATGGAAAGTCTTTGATAGTTTCAGGAATTAAAAATTTGTTCTAATGAACAAGACAGGAAAGTATGATCTTATAATAACTGAACAATGCTTTCATACTTTATGCACACAGTGTCTTATATAGCTGCCTATTTCATTGTAGTAAGTAAAATAACTTTTCTATTTCTTCCTGACAGTATTGTCATTTTATGTGTTCAAATGATTTGTTTCTATGTTCAACCATAATGCACAAGCTTCTCATTTGAATACCTCATTGGTTATCTCCAAAGTGTGTCTCTTTGTGTGTTGAAGCAGCAAGCATGAATTCTTTTTTTCTAATGTGGGTGGAAAATGTAACTCTCAATATGTTATATTAAACAAATTAATTATTAAACATTACTTTGGGTGAATATCTCTTAATGATTTCCTATGTTATTACTATGTTAATCGTTAAACTGAGGGAATGACCATAAAATACATATTGAAACATGGGTATTTGTACTGTCTTCCACTCTTGACTTCAGCTTTATTCTATGTGCTTTCATTATATCAAAACTTGTTTCCACAAATCATCTTTGGTAATAGGAGTCTCTGCATGTTTGCATTAAAGGGAATGTCCGTGCATGTATCTTAAGAACATTAAAAAATATATATATTTTTGGCTATGTATTGGTTTGCAGTGTTTATATATTAGACTGGAGGTGTCAGTGAACTCATCAAAAATGATAAATGCAAGCAATTGAATTTCCTTAAAACTTAATTTTTAAAGCATGTAATGGCATATCAAGTAGTAGTGCATTACTACTACTGTTGCATTCAGTGTTTTTAAAAACAAAGTTGACATTATCATAGTTATTGAATTATAACTATGTTTGAGCAGCAATGTAGTTTGATACTCTTAAATTTTATCATGATACCATCTATAATATTCTAGGCTAATTGCTGTATGCTTCATTTTAGGTTGAGTGCTATGACTACGACAATGATGGATCGCATGATCTCATAGGGACGTTTCAAGCTACAATGTCTAAACTGAAGGAAGCCTCTCGACATTCACCAGTTAGTCCGTTTATATGTCTTTATCATGTTAATTGAAATGAATGTGGAAGCAAACATTGCTGGTCCTTGAGGCTTTGCTAAAATAAAGAGATGGACTCAAAATGGAAGCCTATAAATGGAATTATCCAAAACGTATCATTGCACAAAATGAAAACTGCCCCAGTGCTCTTCAACATCTTCATCAATGATTTGGATGAGGGGATAGATGGGGAACTCATCAAATTTGCAGATGACACCAAGCTGGCAGGAATAGCCAACACTCCAGAAGATAGGCTTAAGTTACAGAAGGATCTTGACAGGCTTGAACATTGGGTGCTATCTAACAAAATGAAATTCAATGGTGAAAAAAGTAAGGTTCTACATTTAGGCAAGAAAACCCAAATATTTAGGTACAGTATAGGGGGTACCTTGCTCAATACTAATAACTGTGAGAGGGATCTCGGAGTCCTAGTGGACAATCACTTAAATATGATCTAGCAGTGTGCTGCAGCTGCCAAAAAGGCCAACACAGTGCTAGGCTGCATTAACAAAGGGATACAATCAAGATCACGTGAAGTATTAATACCACTTTACAATGCATTGGTAAGGCCACACTTGGAATACTGCATTCAGTTTTGGTCACCACGATGTAAAAACGATGTTGAGACTCTAGAAAGAGTACAGAGAAGAGCAACAAAGATGATTAGGGGACTGGAGGCTAAAACATATGAGGAACGGTTGCTGGAATTGGGTATGTCTAGTTTAACGAAGAGAAGGACGAGGGGGGACATGATAGCAGTGTTCCAATATCTCAGGGGCTGCCACAAAGAAGAGGGCAGGACAAGAAGCAACGGATGGAAACTAATCAAGGAGAGAAGCAACCTAGAACTAAGGAGAAACATCCTGACAGAACAATTAACCAATGGAACAACCTGCCTCCAGAAGCGGTGAATGCTCCAACACTGGAAGTTTTTAAGAAGAGACTGGACAGCCATCTGTCTGAAATGGTGTAGGGTTTCCTGCCTGAGCAGGGGGTTGGACTCGATGACCTCCAAGTTATTATTATTATTATTATTATTATTATTATTATTATTATTATTACTAGTGTTAATACCACTTGGAATACTGCATCCACAATGTAAAAAAGATGTCTGTACTCTAGAAAGAGTACAGAGAAGAGCAACAATGATGATTAGGGGACTGGAGGCTAAAACATATAAAGAATGGTTGCTGGAATTGGGTATGTCTAGTTTAATGAAGAGAAGGACTAGGGGGTGACATGATAGCAGTATTCCAATATCTCAGGGGCTGCCACAAAGAAGAGGGAGTCAAGCTATTCTCCAAAGCACCTGAAGGCAGAACAAGAAGCAATGGATGGAAACTAATCAAAGAGGCAACCTAGAACTAAGGAGAAATTTCCTGACAGAACAATGAACCAATGGAACAACCTGCCTCCAGAAGCGGTGAATGCTCCAACACTGGAAGTTTTTAAGAAGAGACTGGACAGCCATTTGTCTGAAATGGTATAGGGTTTCCTGCCTGAGCAGGGGATTGGACTAGAAGACCTCCAAGGTCCCTTCCAACTCTATAAAGCTGCTGTGAAGCATGATAGTATCTGTTTGCTTTCTCTTCCTTTTTCTCATAGGTTTATGAGTAATTACAACATTTAGCCCTAGACTGCTGGTTCCAAAATGTTTATTATTACTTCTAAAAGTCTTGTGGTATGGGCAAGATGCTGAAATATTAATAGCAATAATATTTTAATAGCAGTCTAAAAATAAATAAATACAAAACGTTGCATAGATTTTCTTCTTTTCTTCCTCAAGTTCAAGCAGGCAGTCTTTCCATGCAATCTTCCATAAGCAATTAACAACTATGCTATCCATGACGTATGATATCAAGTTCAGAAGTACAGACCCAAATCTGAAGAGGACTTGAACAAATGTTGCCAAAAATCATATATGTGAGAACACGTTTCTGATTAAGCAGACTTGGGATCACAGTCTAAATATGTGCCATTTTTATTCTTGCTTTTCTGTAGATTGAATTTGAATGCATCAATGAAAAAAAGAGGCAGAAAAAGAAAAGCTACAAAAACTCAGGGATTGTGAGCTTTAAACACTGTGAGGTCAGTGCTTTCAAAATAATGTGTTCATGTTTATGTGGACATATCCAGGGGTAATAAGGGAAATATAATAAAAGTATTTGATTTAATGGTTGTACTGGAACATTTTGATGCAGCTTCTGCAATTTTACGAGGTTAACAATTTGCAGTATTTTATTCACGTATCAGATTTTTATCCTTTTTTTTAAAGATGTCAACGTGTTATTCCTCTTATTTTTTCTACACAATTACTCTGACATCAGTTAGACTGAAAAAGTTGTTTCACTGGTGCAGAACTTAGCCTTTGGCACTAATCTGGTCCATTGAACTGACTCTTCCTTGTTTAGCAGAGAGGAAAGATTGCAAATATAGCATTGCTTCAGCCACTGCACAGCTTTCCTTTTTTGAAAAAGAAAAAGGGTAGTTGAAGCTAGTGAAAGTTGTGCAATAACTGTAAAATGCTGTTCTGTTTCAAAGGGATAAAAGGTGTTCTGGAGCTCCTGTCTGCAGCCCCTTAGACCAAATATCTTTTTCTGAGGTATCATAGAGTATGGTTGTGCTATCCCAAATAAAAATATAGCTGTTTAAAACTGTTGCCAGCAGATGTTATGTTTGCATTCTCACATGCTCTGAAGCATCCTTTGGCCTTAGAAACTGAGACTCTGCAGTACCTTAGTGGCTCCTACTGCAACAGTACTGTACAGCATTTGAGCATCAAATATCTTACTTGGATTTTGCATTTAGTCAATCCTTACATCTCTCCAACTAGGACACTGCTGTTACCATCTCACAGTCCATCCCCATCCCCAATTTAGATGTCGAAAATCCTGCCTTTATCCTGTTGGGGAAAAAACTAGGTTGTAAAAAAAATGGATGACTTGGTTTATGTATCACAACATAACTTTTCTATAGGTCATCACAGAGTGTACTTTCCTTGACTACGTCATGGGGGGATGCCAGTTGAATTTTACTGTAAGTAAACTATAATTTCCCTGTCTTAAGTATTGACAATAAGCTCTATTCAATTGAGAAAGACTGGATACATGCTTCCATGCCAGAACTATTCCATTAGTACTAAAGTGCTAGCATTACGGAAGGGGATACAGGAGACATGATGTTCTACTTTCCTGCTGAAGGACAAGAGGCTTGAGTTCAATGCTATTCTGTGCTTTTAAATATTGCTTTCATTAAACATTGCAGCATTGCTTTGGGATTGAGTTTCTGTAACTTGCTAAGTCTATATATTTATCTTAATTGCCTTTAAAGAAGCTCAAGGAAGTGCAGCCTCTTTTGAATTAACTTTGACTGGAAATTGGGTTCGCAAGGAAGCATTTTATTTTATTGGATTTGGGAATGTTTCCCTAATTGTTAATCTTCATATAGTTTGTGCAAACAAAATCCTGAAAAATCTGTTAATTCCATGGGGGTGGGGGTGGGTGGGTGGGAAACCTTTCACATTTTCCCATACAAACTTAACTTGTCCTGTTGATTGGTATTACTACAGGTGATATGGAACAAACTATTGTTTGTACCTGATCGTTGTTGTTATTACTATTATTATTATTACAGGTTGGCATTGATTTTACTGGATCTAATGGAGATCCTCGTTCTTCAGACTCGTTACATTACATCAGCCCCAATGGAGTGAATGAATACTTGTCAGCCATTTGGTCTGTAGGAATGGTCATTCAGGATTATGATACGTATGTGTTTTTATTAAATTGTTCTTAAACTGTTGAACATGATGAGTATACTTGAATTCTTCAATAAGTCAAAGCTTATTTTAAATATTTTAACTTATTGTTTACATATTTTTAAAATTTCCTATCCTTGGTTATATCTATAAGAGTGGGGTTTCGATATACAATTTCATTAAATGATATGGCTAAGCTAAAACTAAACTGATATAGCTTAGTGAAAGAAAGTATAAAGGGGGGGAGGGAGGTGGGTTTCCAACAATTGCCGGGGTAATTGAACTCTTGCATTTTTAATGTCCCTTTTGTAAAAGTTCTGTAATTTGTTCCAGGATGGTATTGTCCAATCTTTAGCAGACTTCCCTCTAAATTCTAAAACTTTCATTGTTTCCTTCCTTGTATTCTTGCACCAATGTACTCATCAAGCCATCTAGATGTTATTGAATCATCTTTCTTCTGTGAAGTATTAGCCAGCTATCCCACCTTTCTGTCTTTCTACTTAACTGGCTTTTCTATTTTTTTTCACCATCTTGCGCATTTTTCCTGCGTTTCGTTGCACTCCTCTGCCAAATTCCTTTTGCAGAAATGTATTTCCTGTTCACTTGCAGAACCATATGTGCAACTCTATGCTCTATGCATGGCTCTTGGCCCTGATAAAACAAAAGGTTTTTTTTTTAAAAAAAATAAAATCTCACAGTTTGGCTATTTGGAAATCAGAACCAGAACTCCAACTCAACTTCCTCTTCTCCCAAAGAAATGAGATTTCAGATTTGCCTAATTGTATTTAACCTTTGAAAAGTTTGTATCTTCTATACAATGTCACATTAGGAGGCATGTTGGGGCAGGGATATTGAAGAAATAGCAATAGCACTTAGATTTATATACCGCTTCAAAGTGCTTGAGCACTCTAAGCAGTTTACAGAGTCAACATACTGCTCCGAGCAATCTGGCTCCTCATTTTAATGACCTCGGAAGGATGGAAAGTTGAGTCAACCTTGAGCCAGTCAGAATTGAACTTCTGGCAGTGGGCAGACAGCCTGCAATACTGCATTCTAACCACTACATCACTTGGAAATAGTTACAGTTTTATCAGAGATCCTTCACCTGCAGATAAGTGATGGCATTAAGATTTCATAGATTTTTCATTTCTTTGTATATAAATCATAGAACTGTTGTGAAATCTGAATGTTTTAGATCAGTGTTTCTCAACTTCAGCAACTTTAAAATGTCTGAACTCCAACTCCCAGAATTCCCCAGTCCATTCACCTTCATGTTGCTGAAGTTGAGAAACATTGGTTAGATGACTGACTTAGCAGTATTCAGTTCAATATGTACATGTTGGTGCCACTAAGTTATTTATTCTCCACCCTGTGCTGGAATTGAGGCTGCAAGCAATATGCAATAACTCAGTGGTATGAGGAGATTAGAATCTTAGCTTTGCCATCCATGCAAAATAATTTAGCAGATATTTGGGAGGAGATATGAGTCACAGATGCAAGCTTTCTGTGCTTCCAGAGTTGGGTAAACCACTTTGTTAGCATTGAGCAATTGGAGGAAACACTGGTAGGTGTCACTTTGAAGATCATATTGAATCATTTTGCTTTATTACAATAATGATCTAACTTCAGTTATTGGTTGGATTAGAAGTATAATTAATTTTCGGCTCCACTTTGACTATACTCTTTTGGATAAATGAAATGAATGGAGTGGCATTCAACTGAGAAAAACAATACACTTGGTTCCTAAGATAAGCTAACATAAAAGAGTAAATCAGAAAGGCGTTTCTCATCCTACTCTCTCCATTCACTTACACCTCCTTCGGTCTGAGGCAATCCTAGTTGGCGAATGGCTTGCAGAGTGGTGGAAGAGTTGTCCTGCTATGGACTTCCTTTTCTGTGTCATTTTGCACATACCTACTTAGAATAAACACTCATCAATGCAATTAAACTTACTCTTAGATAATTTGATAGTGGGTCCTAACTATGTACTGTATGGAAGTACAGTAGTCCTCAGTTTTATGACCACAATTAAGCCCAAAATTTCCATTGCTAAGCAAGGCAGTTGTTAAGTGAGCTTTGCCCTTTTTTATGACCTTTTTATGACCTTTTTGCAACAGTTGTTGAAGCAAGTGTAGCTTTCCTCATTTACTTTGCTCGTCAGAAACTGGCTGGGAAGGTCACAAATAATTGCAAGATCCTGGGACAGTGCAACTATCATTAATACATGCCAGTTGCCAAGTGCCCAAATTTTGACCACATAACCATGAGGATGCTGCAACAGTCATGTGAAAAATGGTCATAAGTCATCTTTTTCAGTGCCATTATAATTTCGAACGGTAGCTAAATAAATGGTTGTAAGTCGAGGACTACCCGTACTATTCATGAACATATATTCTAATGAGTGCACAACTATGGATTTACTTATCATTGTTTCTCTAAATCGCTTACACAGAGATAAGATGTTTCCAGCTTTTGGGTTTGGTGCTCAGATCTCCCCTTCATGGCAGGTAAGCAGTGTGCTTTGGGAAGATAATTTACTCTATAAAATGTTGTTAAAGTTTGTTGATTAAATTAAAACAACAGTGACATGATGTAGATCTAGAGCAGTGTTTCTCAACTTGACAACTTTAAGATAGGTGGACCTCAATTCCCAGAATTCTGCTGACTGGAAAATTCTGGGAGTTGACATCCACCAGTTTTAAAATTGCTAAAGTTGTGAAAGGTTGATTTAGAGGAAAGCTACCTGGTGAAAGATTATTGAACCCATGAAAAAAACGAGTACCTTTATGTATTTTCAGGTGTCGCACGAATTCCCGTTGAACTTTAACCCATCGAACCCCTTCTGCAGTGGTAAGTTTTAATATACTACAAAAGTATGTCCTGACATTTCTAGGTGTGCTGAATGTAACAATAAAGCAAGACTTGGCTCAGTGATTGCGCATTCTAAAATTAGCACTGTTAATTTTGCATAATTGTTCAGAGACAGGTGTAAAAATAAAGATTTCTGATCAAAATTGCCTGCCTGAGAGAGATTAGCAACAGCTTACACACTTCTGAAAATATGGAAGGAATTATTTGTTTTTAAAAAAAACCTTCACAAATATAACACTAATGAAGTGCCACAAAGGGACTTCTAAAGTATATGAGTTTATTATGATTTCTTTCCATAAAGGAGTTGCCATTTGTGTATCTGTTAAAATTTTACTACAAGAATTCTCTTTAGAACAAGACCTGTGTTGCTACAAGTATTTTAATGTTGGGTAGTGATGGAATTATCTGCGTACCTCAAGACTTAACAATATGAAAAGAATCACCTTTGCAAGAAATACTGACAGCTCTTCTCCAAAGTCATATGGCCTTCAAAAATCCTAGGGATTTAAGTTTCTTTCACTGTTTGACTAGCTAGTCTGCTTACTTTAAGGCTTGAGATAAGCAACTTCGTAGATCTTCCTTAAATATAGACAGTTTACAATAGAAATGCTTATTGAGGCTTCAGCATATAGACCAGGGGTAGTCAACCTTGGCTCTTTTATGACTCGTGGACTTCAATTCCCAGAATTCCTGAGCCAGCTTAGCTGGCTCAGGAATTCTGGGAGTTGAAGTCCACGAGTCATAAAAGAGCCAAGGTTGACTACCCCTGATATAGACCTTCATAAACTAGACTGGAGGGTGGCTGTGATGAATAAATTTCCTTCATTATGCTTTTATTCCCTGCAGGGGTCCAGGGTATTGTGGATGCATATCGGGTCTGCCTTCCTCAAATAAGATTGTATGGGCCCACCAACTTCTCTCCAATTATCAATCATGTAGCTAGATTTGCTGCTGCAGCTTCACAGCAGAGAACAGCCTCAGTAAGTACCTTTTTGCTATGCTTAACTGTTGTGAAAAGATACTGGTAAGGTAAAAGAATGAGTAGTTGAAAGAATTTCTGAATTATCTAAATTAATTGGTAATTTCAAAATATAAACAAACAGTTGAGGTTTTTTTTTAATACATGTAAGCAATTAGACCTGGCAAGAAGACTGCATTTCTACCTTGTTAGAATCCTTTTAGTACTTTATAGTAAGAATGAAATGTTTCAAAAAGCAAAAGGGAGATTAATTATTTATGATGAGTCATGAAGAGTAGTATTAACTACTATTTGTGTAGAACATAAATATCAATCCCTAGCAATTTATTTCCCCTGAGATGCCCTTAAAGCACTTTGGTTTTCCTAGAACAAATGTATATCTGCTACAGGTTGGGGGCGAATGCTGTATCTGTTGATTTAAATAGTTATGCTCTTTGGAAGTCATAATTGAGATATCAGCCTGATTCTAATTATCCAAGCATTTATGGCTTCCTACTAATAATTCTATCATTACTTATTTAGAAAACAATAATATAAACTCAGTACATGAACCATGACTTTTTATAAGATTTCTGAAGCAGGTATATATAACTTTACTAATAATTTATCACAACAATGTATGACTGAAAAAAAAGTAAGAAAGCTTATTACCATTTGTCCAGCTAAGAAACTACAGTATGTATATAACCAGATTGACTTTCCTTGTGGTAGAACATAGCAGTTGATTCCCTGCATGTTTTGGGAACCCTCTTCAACTCATATTTGCCATTTTTCTGTGTTGTGAGTTGGCCTTTGTGGATCCTATATTTTTCAGATGGGGTGATATCCTTAAAATGCTCTAAACCTCAACATGGTATTTACAAGAAGCTCCTGTATCTGGAGTATTACATGAGAGGATGGATAGGAGGAAATGAATGTCTAAAGAAGCAAAATGGTTGTATATAAAAATATGTTTCTGGCAACTAAAATGAAATTAATTAAATAGAAGTGAGTATTGGTGTTTGTCGTGAGAAAGAAACATAAAAGTAAATTGAATACAATTTAGTTGGGTAAAAAGATTGATTTAGGATTTGATGGAGAAAATTTAATGGAATACTTCACTGTTAAAGTGCAGGTAGTCCTCAACTTTTGATCCAAAATTGAGCCCAGAATTTCTGTTGATAAGTGAGACATTGTTAAGTGAGTTTTGCCCCATTTTACGACCTTGCTTGTCACAGCTAAATGAATCACTGCAGCTGTTCAGTTAGTAACATGTCAGAAAGTTGCAAAAGGTGGTTACGTGACCCTGGGATTGTGCAATCATCATAAATATGAACCAGTTGGTAAGTATCCGTGATTGTGGGGAATGCTGCAACAGTCACAGTGTGAAAAATGGTTACAAGTCACTTTTTTTGCCATTGTATCTTAGAATGGTCACTAAATGAACGTAAGTTGAGGATAACCTATAACTTAACTATCATTGTTAAGTACAATGAGAGAGTAAATAATCTGTTTTGGTAATTTATCTGGAGATAATAGTAGTGCCTTTCTATAAGGATTGTTCTCCGGATGATGACCTTAGACACACATCAAATTGCATTAACCTTTTTAGTGTGTTGTTTTGGAAGTTTTTCTTTCTGCCGTTGTTATAAATTGCTTCCCAATCTATTATCTTTGGGAATATATTTTCCTTGTTAATTTTAACAAAGTGCTTTTGTTCAACAGCAATATTTTATACTCCTGATAATCACCGATGGGGTGATAACAGACCTTGATGAAACCAGATCTGCTATTGTCAGTGCCTCTAAGCTTCCAATGTCCATCATTATTGTTGGTGTTGGAGGTGCTGATTTCAGTGCCATGGAATTTCTGGACAGTGACAGTGGAGCTTTGAGATCACGTTCAGGAGAAGCTGCTATTCGAGACATTGTCCAATTTGTGCCATTTAGACAGTTCCACAATGTAAGTATTGTTTCTTAAAGATGTGCATGGCTTCAGGTTCAGTCCTAGAAAGGTGTGTTTAGAACACGCGACAAGATGAATGTAATAGGAGCTTTCCATAGCTCCTTTTAAAGCAATTGCATCTTTTCCCATCTAGGAAAATTATGGCTGTTTAAAAGTTGTAGATTGGTGCTCTGTTGGCGCTCTTATACACTCCAAGCATTTCCAGGATGTTTGAGAGATTCCCTTCATAAATACATTAAATTTTGGTTAGGATATAGTAAACATACAGAAAATTCTTTTTGAATTCTGCTTGAAACATACAGCCAATTCTGAATGAAATCTATGACTCTTTATTACAATTTTCATCCCAAATGGAAACTTTTAGTAGTAGCTTTATGTGAACATCCTGTTAAAAAAATATCCCTGTGGGGGAAAGAAAAGTAAGTATCTGTCTAAAATATTTATAGATATTATGTATCATCTCTCTGACCTATATCACTTCATTGAAGTAAACTTGTTTCATTGCATAGATCTATTAGAGACAGTACTATATTACCAAAAACATTTATTGCGCTAGTTTGTTGCATTATTTGTAATGCAGTGAATATAGTTATTATTGCAACTAATCTCTCTCCCTTAGAAAAAGACCCAGTTAATCCTTACTTTCCATTGTTTCTGAAAGCTAAATGCTACAATGGAAAGTATTTGTTTTATATTCTAAAATTTTTCCACTGTGGGTTATGCTTTAATTTGCTACTTGATAGGTGCTTGTATATTCCAGTATGAAACTGGATGCATTTATCTTGAAAAAGGGAACTTGATTATAATACCTGTTGCTTGATTTCAAATACTTTAAAAAGTATTCAAATTGAAATGATTACTTTGGTAATTACATACATATTAGTTTAATGACCATATCAAATAAGATAAGATAAAATCATGCAGCAAATATTCCATAAAATCAAATAAGATTATCCTCTTGGTAGTTGACTCCAATGTGATCTAGATAAGGAGCTCCCAGTTGAATGGCTGTAGCTATAAACTTGGTGTTTTTTCTTTCATGTGTTTGTACCTTGGAGGAAGTAAGATAGTTTATTGATGGGGTCAGGCTATCAAGTATATAGTTGGCAGTCAAAGATGGATGCCCAAAGATGGATGTATTTGCAGCTACAGGAAAAGTTTGGCTTTATAAATCTTTCAGAAATTCCTCTAATTAAACACGGTGGTAATTTTTATAGATGTTACATAATGTTTTCATTTAATTTTCATATCCAAAGTGATCTGCTACTAGCTATTTTGGCTTTATGAAGCCAGTATAAAAGAAAGAACTGCACTCTGACAGCTCATAAAGACAATCTTAATGGACAAATCACTTTGTGATAACTATCTTTCCTTTGAAAAAGCGCTCCTGAGACCTTCCTAGATGAGCAGGAATTGAATCAATTGGTTTTACTTCTGTCTCTGTCCTTTGAATTAGGCTCCCAAGGAAGCTCTTGCTCAAAGTGTCCTGGCAGAGGTGCCACAGCAAGTTGTGAGCTATTTCAGCATGTGCAAGTTGCAACCACCAAACAAGCCTACAGCCAAGCAAGAACAGCAGAAGCAAGCATGAATCACTCTGTGGGAAGTTTCGGTGCTTCCTGTCTGTGGTGTCCCTTGATTGTGATGCACAATAAAAGCCTTTTCATACATTTTACAGAAAAGGTGCCATGCTATGATAGCCTTTCCCTTTGTTGTTGTGAGTTGCCAAAGATGCTCTATGTTTAACCCCATTGCAAGTGAGATTGGAAAAGCATATATACATATTTTTTCACTCTTTTGTCAGACTTCAGACTGATTAAGACCCCAGGGTGTTGAATTAAGGTTATCCAAGTATCTTTCTTCATCCCTTCTCTGTGGTGTCTGCCCTTCTATTTCTGAACATTTGCAATTTGATGAAACAGTAAACCTTTGAACATGAGTATTATCTGGAGACTGCAACGGAATTATATTACAATTTACAATTTACAGCTTACATTGTACTATTAAATCAAGGTGGCATCTGACTGTGATACATAGTTGCCAACAGTTTGTGTCTTTCTGTTCCACATAAAGGATATAAATAGGATTAGGATTGCTTTTGTTGCTTATTTTATCACAAACCAATTTGACTTTTGAGAAATATAATTGTGTAAAATAAGAACATGGACATAGAAGCTATATATATGTGTGTGCCTGGGGAATCTTACCTGTTTTATAGCTGTATATTTAGAGATTTCTATGTGCTGGAGAATCTGTATTATTCATAAATGGTTTCCCTATGGCCAGAGCTAGTTCCAGGATACCTTATCACTTTCATTCAGTAGTATAAACTGAAGTTCTCCCCACAGCTGATTTAGAGAAGCTAGAGAGTGTAAATTTTCATTTTAGCACAATGCCCATGGATTAGATCAGTGGTTCTCAACCTGTGGGTCGGGACCCCATTTGGGGTCGATCGACCATTTCACAGGGGTCGCCAAGCAAGGCTGTCCGCCATTTTTTTTGTCCGCCATTTTTTTTGTCCGCCATTATTCCCCCTTTTCCAGCGGGTGCCTTACCTCCCTTGGGTTGGGCCAGCTGGTGGTCTGCCTGCTCCGTCTCTGCCGCTTGCCAGCTACGCCTCGGCCGGCGCAGGGGGCGGAACCACGCATGCGCGGTGCTCCCGGGCAGGGAAAGTCCTCGACTTACGACCGGTTGGGTAGTCCTCGACTTACGACCGGTTTAGTCCTCGACTTACGACCGGTTGGGGTCGCGGCATTAAAAAGTTGAGAACCACTGGATTAGATTATCTTGTTCTGTATGTATTTTCAGGTCCTCTGCTCTTTGGGAGATTTTTGCATTTATTTAGTGACAGCTAGTGAGTTTGTGATTGTGTTTCATCTGCTTCCAGCATTTTTTTTCTTCATCCCAACTACATGCTGTTCAGTAATCCAAAAGTTTTTGACATATTTTCTTGCTGTTTGTTCAGTAAGAAAGTAGTGTACATAACTTCTGTTCTTCTGTGTGTGTATATGCTAAGTGAAATGAAATTGGACTGAGCTCTCTGAAAAGGATTGTTAATTGAACAACATAAATTATGTAGGCCCCTATCAAAAGGGAAAAATGAGAAATCAGTGTTAATAGCATAGAATCTGATAGGTATGTACTTTTCTAGGAAAATGAAAGCTACCAGCCTTCTGTCCTGCAGCTTTGCATTACGATCATATTAAAATGGAAACTATCTGCAGCTTATATGTCCAACTAATGCCATGTTTAGAACTAGCCGTGTATTTAGAATATCATCTATTCATCTAATTAAAGATATTTTTATTAGGAATATTCTACGATGCGCAAATCTTAAGCGGGTCTCTTCTAGCATCCTGTTGGAAAACTTTTTTTCTTTGTTTCATGCATATGTATAGGTGACTATTTATTTAGATCAGGGATTTGTTGCTAGTGGTTCAGTAAAAAAACAACAACTAGATGCCTGGAATGTGTAAAGGTATTATGTAATGGTATACTTTGTGAATATTACTTACTGCATTGCAACCAGTTTGCATCAAAGGTTTATCGTGTTGGAGTCCAAGTATTTCAGGATCAAAAAATACAAAAGCTATATTTTGTAAACTCTTGAGATATTTGCTATGAGCTCTTGTAAGAAAGACTGAATTTTTATTTTTGCACTTTGTTATTACCTTATACTGTATTTTCTGACTTACAACAAAAGGGATATGGCAATATCTCAAACAGGGGCCACTTCCTACATACTTTCACTCCCTTCAACATATGATCTTAAGTCCATATGCCAAGCTATGCAACTTTTTTAATAGATTATTTTTTTAATTGAACAAAAGGTTGCCTTCTCGACCATGATATTTTGTGACTAGACTTGCCCACTGTGGCAGCCTTTGTTCATAAAATTCAACAGGTTCTCAGTATTCCAAAAATTATTGCGTTGAACTTTTCCTATCTTGAAAAGGGATAGCATAGCCTACAGCTGTGCAACTGAATCCAGAGGAGCTAGGCAACTTCTACATCTAATGCATTGCATTTCTTTAAAAGAAAATACAATTAGATCTACAACCATAAAATATAAAGTATTTGCTTAGTAATACTTTTTAGTGCTTTACTTAAAAGTAATACTTTTTCTAATCTTATGTTTTCAGCATAATTTTTCTAGCCAGTTGCTAGCACCACCTTGTGATAGAATTTGATATTGGCTTATTTGTGCCAATTCTTTTTTTTAATTTTTCCTATTTGATATTTCTGTCATAAATCTGTATTTTGCTTTGAAAGTACAGTATCATATATGGCTTGCACTGTATTTTCACTTGTTGCTTATGCACCGGAGACAGATTTCCTTGTGTGTCCAATCACACTTGGCCAATAAAGAATTCTATTCTATTCTATTCTATTCTATTCTATTCTATTCTATTCTTTATCGTATTTTCTAAATAATGCTGTTTTATATGTGATATTAAATCTGACTTTGAATGTGACATGGCATATTTTAGTGGCATATAAACCAAATTTGTTATATCCCAATAGTTCTCTTGTGTTTTAACTTTTTCCTTGAGGAATATGTGTTTACTTACCTAGTGGTAATATTATAGCAGACAAGAATAAACACTTTTGCCCATATGTTTTTCAAAACGTATTCATTTTTCTGCATTATAAAAAATATGAATTTGGATTGTCTGCAACATTATTGTCATGGTCATATAAAGTAATAATATACATTCTGGTAAGGAAAATTTCTTTAGTTTTCATTGGATTTTATAACTTTTCCAACAAAAAGTTTTATTTATTTATATGCCGCCTTTATTATTTTTACAAATAACTCAAGGTGGTGCCACCTATCTTAATCCACCTTGCTCCTCCTATTTTCCCCACAACTACCATTCTGTGAGGTGAGTTGGGCTGAGAAATAATGACTAGCCCAAGGTCATCCAGCTGCCTTTCAGGCCTAGAAATCGCGGTCTCCAGCTTTTAGTCTGGGTATCTTAACCACTGGATCAAACTGACTCTTCTACAGTTATTTCTTGCACCAAGGGTGATTCCTGACTCCCTCTTAATTGGAACAGCAAAAGGTGATGAGGCATTCCTATTCACACCATGGTGTAATTATTACCAATAATATATCCACAATATAATATACCTGCCCATCTTAACTCAAGTTACCAGACTGAGAATACATCATTCAACAAAATAACAATAACAGAGTTGGAAGGGACCTTGGAGGTCTTCTAGTCCAACTCCCTGCCCTAGCAGGAAACCCTGTACCATTTCAGATGAATGGTTGTTCAATCTCTTCACAATTGTTGGGTTCATATAGCAAGCCGAAGTCTAAACAATTCACATCACAACACTTTCTGAATTGAATAACACTTGTCTTTGTTTTAGTTTCTTTATTCTGCGAAGAAGATATTTGGGGGCTATTTCTCAACCAAGATTCAAATAGATATTTTATTGGGAGTAAGAGTAACAATGTAAAATTGCATTTTTTATCTCTTGGCTCAATTCCATCATTGTTTATTCTACTAATGGCCCTGGAGCAATTACCTTTGAGTTTAAGACCTGCTGCAGACCTTTTAATCCTTTGAGGCACTATATAAAGAATGCAAAGTCTCAAGGCTACGGATGTCTCCTGCAATCCTCTCCCTAATCTGTTAACATTAGAACAGAAAAGGCTCATAAAACATCAGAATGGGTTTAGAAAAGCTCAGTACAGTAGGAATTGACCTTTCTGCCAGCAATGCTTTATTAACTAAAAAGGAGTATTTCCCTGGAAGCTTATTGTTATGAATGAAACAGTGGAACATGATGGATGGCCATAACAAAGGGAGTCCGGTGAAGAAATCTGTTATTTCTCATTCATAACTCATTCTTCTTCAAGGATTATGCAGACATCCCAAAGCATTTTTTCTAGCAAGTAGGAAAAATTTCAAGGAAGTGAAGAGCGTCTTCTTCTGTTGCCACATATATTGCATTGTTCAGTGACTGCTCCCAGTCAAACATGATAGCAGTATTCCAATATCTCAGGGGCTGCCACAAAGAAGAGGGAGTGAAACTATTCTCCAAAGCACCTGAAGGCAGGACAAGAAGCAACGGATGGAAACTAACCAAAGAGAGAAGCAATCTAGAACTAAGGAGAAATTTCCTGACAGAACAATTAATCAGTGGAACAACCTGGCTCCAGAAGTTGTGAATGCTCTAACATTGGAAGTTTTTAAGAAGAGATTGGACAGCCATTTGTCTGAAATGGTATAGGGTTTCCTGCCTGAGCAGGGGATTGGACTAGAAGACCTCCAAGGTTCCTTCCAACTCTATTATTATTGTTGTTGATATTTAGCTCCCACTGGGGGAAAAATCTGAAGTATATTTTTAATCTATCAAGATTGCAGAGGCACAGCTTTAGAAGTCCTGATATTTTTGTTCTCTTGATAGTCCAATAAAAACTGTAGGATTGTTCTCATGTTTATATTTTCAATAAAAAAGCGCCTTAATTTTGTTAATTTTGTGGACTGACCTTTCCTGTTAGTTTTTAATTTCATGTTGTGAGGTATGAAACAACCTTCAGAGGAATTATTTGGAAACCAATGTCAATTGTGTTATAGAACCTTTAACAGGCTTATGTTTAAAATGACAGTCACATTACTCTGCCACCCCTATTGTTACATTACCATTCTCATTCTGTAAAGCACGGGTAGTCAACCTT